TTTCTCTGTTAAGGAATGGCCCTCATTATGAAAGAAACTCAGGAACACCCGTTATAAAGTACTCAGGTCAGATGGAGCACTGGTTTAGTTTGGAATGAGTGGATTTTGTTGGAGCATTTGCTTTGTGATTTAGTATTCAACATACGTGTTTTTTCAAATAAGATTCTCAGCAGATGTTTTCTAAATTAACCTAATGTATTTGCATATCTGAGGGTCATCCTTAGCTGATTATAGAGCATTTATGTTGAAATGTAATTAGTGAAAAATGCATGATTTATTTTGTTCATAAAAAAGCAGTTAGTTGTATATTAGTATATCAGTGTCACTGTATTAGGGTGACCAGATGAGAGGAAGAAAATATCAGGACACATGGGCGGGGGGGGAAGGAAGGGGTGCCTGCCGGCAGAGCAAAGAAAAAAAAAAAAGCCGAGTCCTGCCCCGGCTGAGCCAAAAAAAAAGAAAAAAAAACACAGTGCTGCTGGCGGATATCGGGACGTCTGGTCATCCTACACTGTATCTCTTTATTCCTAGATATAAAATGTGCAACCTGTTTTCAATTAATGTATAATTAAGTTTGGAATTGGACTGAATGTTAAACTTGTATATGCTGTTGTGCATCTTAGATATTGTAGTTATAATTTATTTTTACTTTTTTCCCCTCCCCCCTTTCTCCCTTTTCTCACCCATGTGTCTGCTTATCCTTTTTGGAATGTGGTTCTTCAACAATCATGATGTACTTCTGACACAGGTAAAGACTTTTTTAATTACCAATATTTATTGAATGTAATCTCTGCTTGGAGAGTGTACAAACAGGCTTTAATTAGACAATACAGTTCAGTCATGGATAATACACTGGATACATTAATTCATAATGTGATACTGACGTCATTATCACAATTGGCTGTTAAAGGTGACCTGTGAAGAAAAATGGTCTAAAAGTTCCCTTCCTTACCAATTCCTCTACCCCACCTCAGAAAAGTGATGGAAGCTGTTTCTATCTTCTCCCCCCTCGCCTCCCCCACATTAGAAATTTAGGTGTTGTATTCCCTGGAAGACTTTATGGTACCTACATAAATGGTGAATTATGACTTCACAAATCAAGAAGCCCAAAGACTTAGGGCTTTAGTACCTACCAGTAGAGTTAGTGTCAACAACTCCCCTCCCTCCAACCCCAAGTGTGGCTGCAGTTATACAGATATTAAAAAGCTTATACTGGTATGGTTTATTCCAGTTCAGGAACTGAAATAAACTATACCAACATAAGGTATCTTTATCCCAGTGTAACTGTCAGCAAAAAATTCACCCCCCGACCCCAAACCAACATAATTACAACCTATTTTACACTGTACATTTGTAAGTGTAGATCAGGCCAATTGAGAAAGGATACCTTTTAACAACACTTTGGGGTTTAACACCTATTAAACTAGAATGTTGAATTAACGTTTTGGACAAAGAATGTTTGTTAGCAATTTTATATCTTGCCCCTTCAGTTAAGTTGAGAGCTCATAATGTCCATGTTCTGAGACCTTCAAAAGATCCTTCAGCAATTAAAAAATAAAAAAGACAAGTCTTAAATCCTTTGTTTTTAAATTAAAAGATAAGTTGGGGAACACTTTTTTTGGTGGGGGAAAGCTATCAGGCCTTCTTCATAAAAAATAAACCAAGAAAAGGCACAAGCCTAACTCTCTCAAAATCATTTGCAGATTACCTTTAAAATGGATGGAAAATGTATTTTACGGTTGAATTTGTATGAGGAGTTGCAGGAAATTCCTGTTACCTTTTAGTATTAGTAAGGTGAAACAAACTTTGGTAAAACTAGGGCCTCATCTGCAGACACTACCAGTATAGTGTTTACTATCGTGAATAGCTCCATTAGCTTCAATGCTACTATATCCATTAGTAAGTAATATAACCAGTAAGGCCATGTCTGCACTACCATTTATGTTGGCAAAACTTCTGTATCTCAGGGGTGTGAAAAAAACACGCCCCTGAGTGACAAGTTATGCTGGCATGAGTGGTAGGCTGCACAGCGCTGACATAGCTACCGCTGCTTGTTGGGGGTGATTTAATTACGTTGACGGGAGACCTCTTTCCTGTTGGCATAGAGCGGCTACACGAGAGATCTTACAGCAGTGCAGCTGTAAACTCTCTAGTGTAGACATAGCCTAAGTTTTTGCCGATTCAGACCCTTTAATTGTATCTTTTGCCCTCTGCAAATGCATATTAAAAGAACTCCACAGCTTGGAATTCTGTGTTGAATGCCCCAAATAACCATAATAAGAGAGCCAAGCAGCAGATTTATTATCTAGAATGTATGTGGCTTTGTTTTTAGCTTTTCAGGTTTGTGAAATCTAGGTTGCCCACTTCCTTTTGGAGGAATGTTGCAATATACATTCTGCTGGTGGCTTTATACTGGAAAGTACTCTGAAAAGTGGATTCTGTATCTAGAAGTAACACAGCTATTTTTAGAACAGTGTACTGTTTTGTAAATGTTTAGAAAAAATGCTATTTTTGAAAACATTTAAAATCTGTACAGATTTTTCCAACAGTGTGCTAAGTAAACAGTCTGAAGGACCTGAAAATTAAACCCTTAATGGCAAGCTACGTTATCCACAGTGTTCAGTGGCAGATGTTAGATCATCAGCAGAATGTATCAGGAGAGGGAGTTCAAAGCTACTGATCCATGGCAATGTGGCCTTTGTTTTTCTATATCCAAAGGATGTTTTAAAATTACAAACCTGCAGATTGCTTCTCTCAGAATGGGGCATTCAGAATATAATTCTGAAAGGGATTTTTGGGGTGAGAGAGAGGGAAGCATGCATATTTGTAAACTACCTTTAAATCTCTGAGCTGTGAATTAAGTTAAATTGACTTTGTATTGCCCATTAGTTATATTGGAATTAAATGTGATATACTCAGAATTACAGAAAGCAATATTAATGGCAATATATATAAAAGGGGAAAAAACCCTTTAAAATCAGCTGTATACTCAGTGTCCCTATTTGGACTTGCCTTTGGGGGCATTCAGTATATAATTCCAAAGTTAATGCATTTTTGCCAAGCCAATTTGCAAATCACCTTTTTAAAAGTCAGTTGATCTTCAGCAAGAACCTGTGACAGTTATGTATCACAAAAACCTTTAAAAAAACAAACAAACCTGAATTCTTTATACTGCTTAAGATGTTTGTGACCTCTTTTTCAGGAGAAATGCCCAACTTTAGGCTCAGGTCTTGACCAGTAACGTAGAGAAGAACAACTGATTCTGAGCTGTTTGTGTTTTTAAAATTAAGTTTCTGTGGTGTACATTTTGATTCATTTTTATGAAGTGCCAGTGTTGAAAATTTAAGCTATGTCTCTACACTTCAACTGCTACAGCAACACAGCTACAGTGCTTCCACGTAAATAGTGACAGGAGGGGTTCCCTGTCACTGTAGTTAATCCAACTGTCCAAGAATTCTTCCATTGACCTACTGCTGTATACACTGGGGATTATATTGAATTAATGATGTCACTCGGGAGTGTGGAGTGACATGGCTGGGTGACATAGCTGAGTCAACTTGACTTTTTTTAGTGTAGACCTGGCCTTAGTGTTTCTTAACTGGTGGCTGTAAAAGGAGAACTAGACAATGTTTAGGTCACCTGTCCTGGCTTTTGCCACAAATTTCCTGTGAGACCTTGGGCAAGTCACTTACTCTCTCCTTGCCTCAATTCACTGTAAAATGGGATAGTAGCACTTCCCTAATTCAGTGGTGCTCATATAGTGCAGTAAACAGGGCCAAAATAGTACTCTGATTTTTTTGCTGGTATGCTATTAGATTATGAAAGTAGACCCTTTTTACAGTACCTGCTTTAAATAAAACTTTGAACTTGACATATTAGCAATGAGCAATTATGAGCTATGTTACCACAAACCCACATTAAAATATTTAATGGTGCTGACTGGACAGATTATTGACGGTTTCTTACATGCTTCTAATTTAGACAAATAAGCTAAAATGATTAAAAATAGATTGCCAAATGTACAACAGACTCCAAATGTATTTAATAAACCAGAAAGATATAGATATGAGCATAAAACAGATACACCTCTGCCAACTGCTTCCGAAAAAAAAATCATAATTTAATATGTACTATAGCTTGGTTTATGTCTTCATAATAAATCATGGGAAGTTCAGCTTCCATCAATACCAAACCTACTGAAATATTGAGGGGCTGAACAGCTTTTATCTTTGGCATATACATGATGATCCTGTCCAATAGTGATCATGACCGATGTGCAATGGGATATTGAACTGTTCACTGAAGGAGAAAGTAATACTCTGATATTCAGGCACCTTGAGAGAGAGTTTACACCTTTATAACTTGATAAATTGATATTCATAAACCATTGAACCTTTAAAATGTATAGACACTTCTAAAGGCATTTGGAACCTGAAATCCTCATGTATTGTGATGCATTTTGCAGCGAGCTGTTCTGCAGTCTTCTTATTAAATGTTTCCACTATTGGCTAGAGAAGACGTGTGAACAAAACTAGCTTAGTCTAAAATGAGCAGTATGTATTTTAAAGAGGACTAAAAATACTGCTGTACTTTTAGGCTCTCTGTACTAGACCCATTTCCTTAAAATTTCCCGCCATTGCTACCACTGATTCAGTTGCAAGAGTGGAAGGGGTAGTGTAGACCGCTTTTTGACCACCTTGTTGTTCAGTGCTGCTCCAAACAGGTAGGTTACCTGGTGGCTAAAACTACAGCAGCCACTAATGACTATTAACTCTGGTGCTCTCATTGTTTGCTACAGTGGTGGAGCTGCACTAGTGGCAAAGGGTTCTGAGAAAATAGGTCTAAATGTAGGTTAGGTCTTGTTGGTTTCATTTCTGAGACAAATGTTTGTTTCTTTAGTGCTATAAAATGGTCTGAGTTACTAACTTATCTGCTGGGATATATGTGATACTCAGCATTCAATTTTGATTCTAAAATATACCATCTATTTTGCTTTTCAGAAAAGGGACTTTGTGTGTAGATTTGTTCTTATACACACACAAGCCTTCATCCCAGTGTGCTGTCACTGCACCTGACAGAATCAAAATATCTGTCTGGCCAAGGGGAACTGTGGGCTTTGCCAGTCATTCATACTGAGAACATAGTTTCTCTTCCTTCTCCTTTCTCTTTCCCAAGCAGCAATAGCTTCTGCCTGACAAGGGACATCCCTCAAGCAGCAACATCTGACCTTTCCGTAGGCAAATCTTCATTGCTACTGCAGCCTCAGGCCAGCTGAATGCGTGAAGCTCCCTCTGGAGCTGCTTAATGTCACTCTGATCAGTCCCTATGCAAGTAGTTTCCAACCTTTATGGGAAGGAGTTCCCATTTGTGGTGTATTTGTAATGAACCCCCTTTTCTTCCCCATGTCATGTCATGCTACATCCTGGCAGTCAGTGAGTAAAGGACATTGAAGCAGGAAGGGGAGCACTTGCCACACCAGCTGAGGAAGAGTGGGGAGCAGTGCTCCCCTAAGTCAGGGAGAGAGGGAGGCGTTCCCCTCTGTTTTTAGCAGAGGCAGGGGAGTTATACTTTAACTTCGGAAGGCATTGCAGCTGTATCTTACCCTGGTTTATATCCAGCTCCCTTCCTCCCTCTCCTCTCTATTGTTTCCCACCCTGTTTTTTATATTTTGGCAGAGTTTGCTTTCCACTTTTCATTTGTTTTCTCCCTACCACCCTTCTCTGTTTTCACCTATCTTTGTGCATTTTTTCTCCATCAGTTCTCTGCCTCTCTCCCCTTCTTCCCACCATTCTCCCCATTGTTTCCTCCTACCTCTCACCTCCTTTTCCCTCTCATTTCTCTCCCTCTTCCTTCCCCACTTTAGTCTCCTGCCCTTTCTTCCCTTTTTACATTTTCTCCTTCCTTCTTTCCTCTTTCTCCTCCATCTCCACACTCTTCTTCCTGTTCTTTCAGTTTGTAAAAGTGTAGCCAGGTGCATTTGCTGTGCATGCTCTGACGTAATATTAAGATTCCCAGTAAATACAACAAAAGTGCCCAACACCCTTAATAACCAGCTGCTCACAAGATAAACAACATCACTTCTATAAAATACAATAACAGCCTGCCAATCCCTCCACCCAGGCCTGATCCTGTAGCCCTTACCTACATGCATAGTTCCATTGACTTCAACAGAACTGGCCTCACGAATAAGGGTTGTGAGATTGAGGCCTGGATTCCTGGTTAAAAAGAGGGGCCTTTCCTGGAAGGGTAACAAATACGAGCTCCTTTGGATAGAGTGAAAGTGAATATCAGAGTCAAGGGCCTTCACAGAGAATACTTTGACAGGCGATATTACTTTAAAAACTTTCCCCTTTTGTTATGCAAGCAAACAGAAAAATTGAAGATTGTGAATGTCTCCCTTTCTGAAATAAATTTTGTGTAACCACATGCAATGTAGATGGATGTAGAGAGATATAAAAATAAAATCTGTATTCATAAGGACCTAGGAATTCACGCCTGGGTATAATAAAAATAGAAAAATCCTTTATAAATGTAGAATGTGTTGGATCAGCTAAATGTTCTTGAGGTAAGTAAACGGAACTTGTACTTAACGTAGCAAAGAGCTTTTAAAGGGTAATATATCTATATGATCAGTGCACATCAGCTGATGTGTCTGAAACATTCATGGTGGAACATTCATATAGTAGAAAAAGGCTCAAACTATATTTGTGAATGCTTAAAATCCTTTTATGACATCCATATTCTTTATTTTATCAGTATTGACATGACTATGTCCCATTATTTCTATTTCCTTATCTAGTCATTACATATAACCTTGCTGCATGTTCTAAAAAAGTCTAAACAAATCAGTATATTTGATTAATAGTGCCCTCAGAACCCTGAAATCTGTTTGTTTGTGCATCAGCTGTAAAATGCCAGACTGGGGCTCCATTGTGCTAGACATCATGCAAATATATAGAAGAGATGGTTCTGTCCTGCAGAATTTACAAACTAAGTGGACAAGATAGAGGAGGGTGGGGGAAATATAACATACAAGCAGAATGATCAGAGTAGTGGTTGGCAAAATCTTGTTAATTCCACAATTTTTTAAGGGGAGAGGGGTGTTGGCATTTTTGCCTTTATGTAACACACACACACACACACACACACACACACACATACACAGCCCAGCTATGAAAAATTAATTCCTGGGTATGGTAAAGAAACGAAATACTGCTTGGCCTGAAAAACTGACTTGCATGGCATTGAAATCTTAGGGGTATAGACCAACGTTGATTAAATGGGGCTATATTACATACCCAATACAGTGTTGCAATTGCTGTCGGAGTTTTTGTGCATGTAAAAACTCAAAGTTAATGTTGCATTAATGAATATATTTGTATTTAGTTAGCTTGTTTTTTAAAGAGACGGAAAAGGAGGTTTGCTTGTCTGAATTTGTGGTACTGAAATTACAGCTAGCATTCAAATTTTGTGTCTTCTGGGTCTGAGTAACAATGTGTGCCCAAGTTGCAGGCAATTCATCTTCATCCAGATGGCTATCTCCGTCAGATACTGGTAAGAACATTGAATCTGTAAAAACTGAAGGAAAAAGGAGGCATAGAGCTGAATGTCCTCCTATACTGATGACATTGTAGTCTTAAACATCACAGATCTTTCAAAGTGGTTTCATTTAGCATGAACAGAAAGGGTAACACTGATAACTTAGCACGGGGAATAGGTGCTTTAGCAGCAGGGTGGATTTGATTTAAATTATGATTTAAATCACTAGTCAGGGAGACTCAATTTAATCATGGTTTTCTACATAAAAGTGAATTCTTGGTGGTTATAACCTTAATACATATTCTTCACAATTTGGTGATAGGTGGAGGTTTCATTTTTAGAAGGTACATGCTATACATTTTTAAACAGTGATTTATTTTGGAAACTTTTCAGATGAGTTTTACAGCTATATCCGAAAATGAATGATTGGTTATTTCGTTTACCAAAGGTAATTGAAGCAGATATTTATGAAGTCATTGGGAGGTGAACTATCTCCAATTCAACAGGTTAATCATTAATATTTGGAGGATTTTCTTGCCATGCCGCATTAGGAGGAGAACATCACCAGACACACATTTAAATTGTTTTATTTAACTAACAACAACATTAAGTATTCTGGATTTTTTTCTTCAACAGCAAACTTACAATATTTTAACAAAACAAGCATATGTCCCTCACTTCTCACATTTAACTCCAGACTTCTTCTCCTTGTTCAGATCTATTCCACCCCCAATAATTTTCTATTTATTGAACTTTTTGAAACTTTAAACTTTTAGTGAGAGGTAAGGGGATTGACTCCGTGTACACAAGTTTGCAGAGGGACAATAGAGTTGAGACCTGTTATTTCTCACCTCTATATATTTATTTATTTTAAAACATTTTTGCTGTTAACCAGCATGTTACCTCTGGAGACACACATTCACAGTTTGAGAACTGCAAAACTAAACATCTCTGATGGTATCTTCTGGACTGAGCACTGAGTCCCATTGGATAGATAGAAAGATTAACCTAAATAATCGGCACAGAAGCCTGTGGAACCCCATAAGATTGGGGCCTTAATCAATGAACTATTGGAACTCATTTACAAAACTTTTCTTAAACATTACATGAATACACCTCTACCTTGAAATAATGCTGTCCTCGGGAGCCAAAAAATCTTACCGCATTATAGGTGAAACCATGTTATATTGAACTTGCTTTGATTCACCGGAGTGCGCAACCCCGCCCCCGGGAGCACTGCTTTACCGCGTTATATCCGAATTAGTGTTATATCGGGTTGCCTTATATTGAGGTAGAGGTGTATATTGTCTCATTCTGTAGAATTAAAATTTATAATCCCTATTCCATGATGAGATAGCTTTGAACTATAATGTATCTTAATTAAAACTATTTTTAGATAGGTTTTTCCTCAAAAATAATTTTATCAAAAAATCTGATTTAAATAAAATCATTGACCTCAAACAGCGGAATAGATTTTGTTTGTAATTTCAGTGATTCCTGTCTGTCTTGTCTTGCATTCATGAATGTTGTGGTACAGGTTCTGCTAGTTAAACTGATGGAATTTAAAGCATTCACAAAACTTCAACTGTACATCAATGGGATTTACTTTGTAATCAAGATAAAATTACCACAGTTGGTTACAAGTGTGGTGTTTGTTTTTGTTTTTTGTGTGTGCAAAATTGTAAGGTGTAGGGACTGGTTTGGATCTGACCTAGAAACTCTGATTCATGTATTTTTTAATAGTGAGGCTTATTATAATTCATTATTTGGTGGTTTAGCCACAAAGTTATTGGACAGTATCCAGTTCATTCTGAATGAGCCATCCAGACTTCTGACCAAGTTCAGGATAGTTTGGAAT